GGGCTCAGCAGCAGGAGCTTCCGGATCGCTCTGCTAATCTACGACCTTCTCTCTCGCAGAGTCCTCCTCCGACGGGAGGCAGCAAAGCCCTGGGGTTGGACCGGCCGCCCCGCCCCTCCCCGCCCCGCCCTGCCCTGCCCTTCCCCTCCCGGGCGCCACCCCCAGCGGCCACCAGGGGGCGCTCACCGTCCTGCCGCACCAGGCCTTGCTGGATGTAGCGGATGTAGGTGAAAAAGTTGCACACGGCCGTGATCTGTGGGCAGAGGCGCAGGGTGTGACCCCCCGGCCCTCACACTTGCCCCCCCCCGCCCGCAAAACAAAAAGCCAGGGCAGATCGCAGGCCAGAGCGGGAAATAGAAACGATAGCGACAACTAAGCTTAATCAAGTATGGTATCCGGTGCGGCAGACGAGCCTATCATTCCCAGTCTACACATGGGGAGAGCCGAGGCTCCAAGAACGACCCCACAACGGCTGCGGAGGCCATGGAGCCTCCACTTATTAAGTGGCTGTGCTGCAAGATGAAACCGGGCAGGCTGCCTAGAATCCACGCTCCCCTGAGGGGCCTGCTTGCTCTGGCTACTGGAGGCCCCGGCCAGCCAGGCCTTACCAGGTACTATTCATCATGCCAGGAAAGGTGAGGGGATCAGAAGCTGCTCACCTGGCTGCCCTGGATCCCCATCTGAAGCCCCTAGTCTGATCTGAGGCCTGCTCCGAGCCAGGCCCTGCGCCAGGCACTGGGGACCCCGAGCTGGCTCAGACCTGATCTCTGTCACGAAGACTCTCATAACGTTGAGAGGGCGCTGTCAGTGCCCTTCCCAGGCCCCTTCCCCAGGCTGGGGCCCCATCTCCCCACTGCTGAGAATGTTGGCTGCTGGTGCCTGCTGGTGCCCCTCTGCACCCCATACCCTCACAGACTTCAGCCAATGACTGACAGGCATCTTGGGTATAAAAGGCTACGCCCTTGCCTCAGGGTGGAACCCACTCTGGGCTCCAGAGCCCCTGTGGATCAGGCTGAAGCCAGACTCCAACTGAAGCCTCACCTTCGCCTGTCCTTCCCCCCACCCCCATTCTGCCTCCTGAGAATTGCACACAATCTCCATCTTAGGCTCTGCTTCTAGGGTACCCAACCTAAAACAGGGTGGAAGGCAGCTGGCAGCTGTGCCCACAACTGCCCATGCTGAATATCCAGCACTTTGGGGGAGGGACATCAAGTGTGTGGGGGCCACAGGCTGGGGAGTGGAGGAAAGCTGAGGGAGGGGCAATGCGCCTGCTGGGCCCTCAAACACACAGGAGCCCTTGCCAGGAGGACAAAATTGGGTGCAGGGGGTTGGTGGCCCTGGCAAAGGCAGGGAGGTGTGAGAGAGGCCAGGTGAGGGGACTAACCCAGTGTGGCAAAGGTGCCGCCTGGGAGGGCTGAGGAGGGGCTGCGCAGGGCTGGATGGGATGGGCAGGAGAAGCTTGAGTCCCAGGCCCTGGCATTGCTCAGTGGCCAGTAGGCCCTACCAGAGGCCCGTGAGTAGGGAATGGTGGGGAGCAGTGGGGCTCTCTCCCCAGAGCTGCGCTTTGGGGACAGAACTTTCTTCTCCCAATGATTCCACACTCCTTGGTCTCATCAGGGTGGGGACCACATCCTAGAACTTCACACCCTTCCCCTCTGCCTTCCCAGCTCTGCCCAGGACAGCAGACACATAGGCCTGGCAGAACAACGTTCTAGATGTAATTTTCTAGGCATGGGAGCGTCTGGCACAGATCCCCTGGTTGGGATCAGAAAAAAACAGAGGTGATCCATGGCCACCAAACAAGGCTCTGGGCACAGATGCAGGGCGGTGGAGACTGCAGCAGTAAAGACTGGATCCAGGATGGGGAGACCTCAGGTCTAGGCTGAGTGGCCTGGGGTGCACACCTTTCCTTTCTAAGGCTCAGGCTCCCTCTCTAATGGGAGCTCAGCTCGCTGCTTGGGGATTTGCCAGAACAACATGCTGGGCTGCCCTGCAGAGGCTGTCAGGACCAGACAAGCTGACTGTGCTGGTCAATCTGCTGCCTGATGATGAGGCCATTTGCCCACTTTAGTCCCATCAGGCACCTCTAGCAGGTCAAGGGGAGGAGATGGTTCCTCTAAGAGGACCTTCCACACCACGTCGCCTTTGCACCAAGCTTCAGAGTTTTCCAAAGTTTTGTTCTTTCCAGTCTTCTTCACTGTCTTTGAAGGGACAGAGGAACGGGGTCCACCCCACACTCATCCCAGCTCAGTGAGGCCCCTTGATCCAGTGACCCTCACCTGGGTCACTCGGCAGGTGAGGGCAGAAGCTGGGATTCCTGGAGGCCCCTCAGAGCCCACAGCTGACTGTCAGCCTTGTGTGACAGACAAGCCTCAGAACCTTCTGCAAAGCCTGGGGCCGGAGCCAGGAGTCAGGATCCTGGAAGTCTAGTGTCACTCCCTTGATTAGGTTATATTAAATGACAGAGCTGATGGGTGTCACTCCCATGATTACTTTTCGGCAAGCAAGAAAATGGCTACCTCAGTCCTTCAACCACAAGGAACTGACTTCTGCCAACAACATGTGAGCTCAGAAGAGGACCCTGAGCTCCAGAAAGGATGCAGCCGCTGATACCGTGACTGCAGTCCATGAGGCCCTGAGCAGAGGACCCAGCTAAGCTGTGCCTAGACTCCTACCCAGGGAGTCTGTGAGATAATAAATCGATGCCACTAAGTTTATGGTAACTTGTCACACAGCAATAGCAAACAAATACACTGGCTTGGCTATGTGGCCCAAGTCATTCTCGTACCTCTCTGAGCCTGTGCCCTGCTCTGTAGATTGTAGGTTGTGCAGCCTGGGGCTCAGAGTCCCAGCCCAGGGAGCCTCTAAGGAGCCAGGTAACACTCCCATTGGATGACTCACTCTGGCCCGGGAGGACGGTGAGATGTAATAGTGGCTCTCGGAGTCCCCAAGCCGGATACGGTGACGACAGGCGCAGGCCAGGCCACTCAGGGCACATGTACTAGGGAAGAGCAGACCTCAGGACCATGGGGACGGCTGGGGCTTGCCCACCCAGCTCATCCAGGGAGGATGCAGCAGCCAGAGAAGGCAGAGGGAGGGGGAGGTAAACACACATCAGGGTGGGGCCTGGCATCCTTTCCCCTGGTCCCAGCTTCCCAAGGTGCCTGGAGCCAGGCCAAGGAGGGGGGCAGTCTCAGAAGTCCCTGGGGGAGACCTTTAAACCAAGCTGGACCCCATCCCTCAACCCCTCACCTCACCCCTGTTGGGCAGGAGAGCTTGGTCAACCTCAGGCCAGGTGTACCAAAGTTCCACTCTCTGCTGCCCCTAAAAATGCTGCCCCCTACTTTACTGGGGCCCTCAGACCCAGTCACCCCTTCCTCCTAAGCAGGAGAACTAAGCAGGAGTCTTCTCTCTCCTCCACTTAGGTCACCAAGTCCCCAGGCTAGGTTCTGCCAATAGGACCTTTTGCCCGGATGCCCTCAGTTCCTTCCAGCCAGACTTCTCCCGCATCTCCGCTTTTCTTCTCCATGTTACAGCCGGGGGCTACTCCAGAAACCCGCATCTAGCCCATGACCTTTCCCTGCTGCTTCCCTACTGCCCAGGAAATAGTTATGGAGAATCCCGAGTAAAGGAAAGTTAAGGAGGCTCCTTGGTTGCGGGACTTTGTCAGAGCCTTTGCTGCCTCCAGGTTCACTGTGGCTCTCTGATTGGACCAGGGAACCCTCTTTTCAGGCAACGTTAATCGATGATTTGTGAAATGCTGGCCTCAGTGGGTTAAAGACCAAACCTCATTTGAGGCCCTTCACACTCTGGCCCCAAACACCCTCTGTGGCCTCAGCCCCAACCCCATGCCCACCCACCCCACTGCTCTGCCCCCCGACCCAGTGGTTTTTCCATTAATATTCCAGCTTCTCATACCTCCACTCATTCTTTTGCCTCTGCCTGAAAGGTCCTTCCCCGCTCAGCAAACTGCTATTCATCTTTCAAAACCCGGTTCAAATGTTCCCCTCCGTGACAAGGCTCCCACCCAGGGGCCTCCCTCGCAGGCCCCAGTCCCTGCCCTTGCTCCATGCTGGCAGTTTTGCTCTGCTGCTGGCCCTGCCCAGTGCCAGCTGAGAAGCAGGGAGGACAAGATGCCAGGGCCATTGGGTCACTGTCAGGAGGTGGAGTGAAGAAATGACGTCACTTACGTGTCAATCGGGGCCCGGAACCCACTGTGGGAGAGGGTGGGTAGAAGAGAGATGCACGTCAGGCCAGCCAGGAAGGGGGAGACCCCGGCTCCATGACTAGAGGCAGCATGTCTGCCAAAGATGCCTCCTTGCCTTGCGCGGAGGCAGCCACTGTCCCTCTCTGGTCAGGTGCCCCTGCCCACCCCCAGGTCCCACTGCAGGACCCAGCAGGCAGGCCTGAGGCTCAGTCCTCCCTGGCCACCCCCTTGGTGCAGCCCAAGGCTATGTGGGCCTTTCCCAGGCGGCAGGGCGCTAAGCTTACTTGGTGCGGCCACACTCGACAGCGGCCACCTTCACCGCGGGCAGTGTTTGCGAAGCCACGGGCTCGATGGTGAGCGTGTTGTCCTCCACGGCGGCCCGTACCAGGGCTGAGAGCTGCGGTAGAGCAGGGAGGAGTGGGAGGTGGTGAGGGGCTGGCCGCCGGCTGCGGGGCCGGGCCCCCCGGCGGGCCGCCCTCTGCCTGCCTCACCTCCTGCATGGTGAAGTCCAGGCAGGGGCCCACGTCCTCCCGGTACACCCTTTCCAGGAAAGGGGAGGTCTTGTCCAGGGTGGGCGATTCCCTCCAGGCCTGGAACTCTGCAAACAGGGTCGTGTCCACCTGTGGGGGAAGGTGAGCCGGGTGGGGGTGGGCAGGGCACGGGGGGGCCAGCATGGCAGAGACAGGCAGAGCCCCAGGAGGTGGGGAGCCAGGGAGGATGCAGCACAGGCCCCAGCGGGCCTGCCCGCCGTAGCCACGCAGGGGACCCGAGTCCCGAAGAACTCCTCTCTTCCGCTCGCACAGAAGAATTTAGATTCGGAAACTCAAAAGTTTCACTTCCAGGTGTGTTGGAGGTGTGTTGCCAGTTTCTTGGCCGACAGAATTAGACTTCGGTCTGGGGTCTCATTCTGAAGACCCTCGCTGCCTCCTTGAGGAGGGTAAGCTGAGGACTGACCCTGCAGGTACCCGCAGGTACACACAGGGACCTGCTGGGACGCACAGCACACACAGGCGTGCACACACGGAAAGGAACACACACAACTTGCTGGCTGCCCTGGGGCACATGCAGAGGGAGAGGCTGGGAGGGGGCAGAGGGAGCGGCCCCTCTCCGGACCCTTTACCTGTCGGGAAAAGGAGAGAGAGGTAGCAGAGGAGGGGCCCACGGGCAGCTCCCCAGGTGGGAGCTGCCAGGCCGGCTCGTAGGTGAGGTGAACCGCCTTGCTGGGGACCACGCAGAGGAGCAGGGAGAGGAGGAGGGGCAGCCCGGGCTGGGCCGGCAGGACAGACAGACAGACAGGTGCACAGAGACAGACAGAGGAAGGAGATTATTAGAGTCCAGCCAGAAGCTTAGAGCTCAGAAGGGGATGGAGAGGCCTGGCCCGCACCTCCTCCCTGGATGCTCGGGAGGCCTGGGGCAGGGCAGAGCTGGGGCCATCTTGGCATCAGAGACTCCAGGAAGCTGAATCCCACTACAGCCTTCAGGGGCGTCCGCTGGGTGCAGCCCTGAGCTGAGCTCCTGACATCCACGTCCTGTGGCCCCAGGAAACCCCATTTACGCGAGGAGACTGAGGTGCTGACAGGTGGCTTCACTTGCACAAAGACCCATGGCCAAGGACATCACAGCCATTGTCCCGCCTGGACCAGGTGCCCCATGTACCCTACTGAGAGCCAAACACCTCATATCACAGGGAATTCACTCAGCCCTCACAGCCAGAGGACACAGAGGCCCAGAGAGGGTAGGACAGACTCCTGGTCACACAGCAGGGTCCAGGCGGGTCCCCACTGGGCACCGCTGCCTGGCTGACAGTGGGCACTGCCTCCCTTTCCTGTACCCACTGCCTGCCCGCTGCCCCTCACCTCTTTGCCCTCCTTGTCCGGGGTGGGGGCGTGTCCTACCGCGGTGCACACAGCGGGGCAGAGGGCGCTGCTGGTGCTATTATGACGCAAGTGGCCCTTGCGGGGTCCGGCCTTGGTGGGGCTGAGCAGCTGTGGGTGGAGCTCGCGGTTAGGAGAGGCTGGTGTGGACGTGATGACCAGTGTCTTCAAGGCTGTCACCTCTGCTTGCAGCATGTCGATCTGGCCGGGAGAGATGGCTGTCAATATTAACCCAGGGCTGAGGCTGCCCCGGCTGCCACCCCAGCTCAGAAAAGACCAACCTGAGCACCTAACTCCACCCGTTATCTTCGGAACAGCCTCTGAGTCGGGGGCTGAGATACCCATTCCATAGATAGGGAAACTGAGGCTCAGAGGAGACACGGCCTGGCTGAGGTCATCCTGGGAGCCAGGACTCTGTTAGGTGCACGTATCTGGGAGCTGGCTGGGTCTCCCCCTGAGGGGCCCCCAGGAGCCAGGAACAGCCCAGCCCTCCCATTTTACAGATGGGTAAATGGGCTCCAAGGGATAAAGCTACTTGCCCAGGCTCACACAGCCAGACTGAGGTTTCTGCTTTGTAAAGGGGGTATGGTGCGGAGGAAAAGAAATTACAATGGCCACAGGATCCTCCCAGCCCCTGAAAAGGCCCCAGAAAGGTCTCCGTGCTACAGCAGAAACACAGCTCGAGTCCCAGGGAGCTGGGCTCCCACTCCAGCGGGCACGTTTCAGTGGGGCCATCTCGGATGCCTCTGCCCCTCCCTGCGGGCCCCCCAGTCCATGCGAGGGTCCGATCGGGTAGCGGAGGGCTCAGAGGCGCGCAGGAGGTCTGCGCCGGCGCGTGCCTCACCTTGCCCCGCGTCTCCTTCAGCTGCTTTTCTGACGCCGCCTGCTTCATGTTGGCTTCTCGGACCATCTTGTGGGCTTCCTGGGAAGAGGGCAGGCTCCACGTGAGGGGGACGCGCGGACGGACGCCCAGCTGCCCCGCACCCTGCCCGCCCCGCCCCGCCCCGCACCTCGAACAGGCTGGCCGTCAGCTCCTCCAGCTCCCGTTCCAGCTGCCCGCGCACCCTGCACAGCCGCTCGCACTCCGCATCCTTCAGCTTCAGCTCCTGCGGGGCGGGCGTGGGCACGAGGGAGGGCGCTGTCAGCCCCCCAGCGGCCCCGGGCCTGGCGCCACTCCCGGGGCTGCCTTACGTGCGCCTCAGGGCCCCGAGCTTGCTTCCTCTGTGCTTGTACAGATTAGAATGCTTTTTCCATTTAACTCAGAGCGTGAAGCTGAACCCCAACTGTCAGTTTGTTAGAGCCTGGGAATGGTTTTCAGAGATGTCATGACTTCTAAAAGTCGTTTAGAAGTCACAAGAAAAACTTTCTCCTTTGTTTGGGCTGCCCTCCTGCCCAGCACAGGCCTGGCATGTAGGTGGCCTTGACAGGAACGTGACGTCTCTGGGCGTTGGGTGAGAGCCCACGGCCCCTCAGGCCGGGCCCCCACCCCCCCAACTCCGCCCCCGCCCTCAGAGCCCACCTTCTGGGCTTTGTGCAGCTCCTCCTTCAGGAACTCTGAGCCCTTCTCTCGGATCTCCATGGAAGAGCTGCGCAGACGCAACACGTCCAGCCGCGTGGCGGCAGGGTCCTCCTCGCCTTGGGCTTCCTTCCCTGCAGGGGTCTCCACCAGGCCTGAATCCCTGTGGCTTTTGCAGGGGCCCACACTCTTCCAGGGGACTGGGACAGCTTCAAGGGGCGGTGGGTGGCCCTCGTCCGGGTGGGGCTGGCTGTGAGGCAAAGAGAGATACAGGGTGGTGTCCCGAGGCCTGGAGAGCTGAGGCCAGGGACCAGCCTTGGGCAATGCACCTGCCACTCTGGGCCTCAATCTCCCCATCTGTAAAATAGGCCATCACGTGGGTTGTCACAAGGGCAGAATGACCAAGCACAGGGTCTCCTGGGGGCAAGGAAAGGACTCATTCATCTTTGTCAACCATCCCCTCCAGCCCAGGACCACAGTAGGTGCTGAGCACACAGCAGGTGCTTGTTTGCCCAGCAGATATTGTAAATGCATCCGTGTTGAGAGCCCGAGTTTCTCCCTGTATAAAATGGGGACAATCCCAATGGCCCTACCTCAAGGGTCACTGAGTGGATCAGAGATGTGCAGAAAACCTTGGCACACGAGATGATTAAGTGGGAACTGCCTTCATTGCTATGGCTCATGCATAGTTTATGCAAATTCGACCCCATTTAGGGTGGACCAGAGAGGAAGGACCTAGCCAGGGCAGGCAGGGCCGGCTGAGGCAGGAAGATTCTGCAAACAGCCTGGGCAAGGCAGCCCCACTTCCTGCCCTCTGGACCGTGTAGGGGGGCAGTCCCAGCTCTCTGCTTGGTCTGCCTTGTGACCTCAGGCAAACACCCCCTCTCTCTGGGCCTCAGGACCCTCCTCCCTCTGAAGCTGAAGACCCTAGAGGCGGTGCGGGCCGGGGACCGCCAGCCGCTGCCCACCTCCCACCCACGCGCCCCCCTTCGCAGCAGACCCTGAGGGGGGAGGGGAGGAGGGGGCTGGGCCGTGGTGGTTTGTGCCAAGACAGCACCCTGGACTCGCTCACTCAGCAAAAGCTGGCGGCTCCTGAGCCAGCAGCTTCTGAGCTGCAGTGGCTGGGCCGAGGCTGGGGGCTGGGCTGCTGATAGCAGTGGGGAAGTGGAGGGGAGGGGGCCAAGAGGGGCCCACACGGGAGGGAGGAAAGACAGGGCCAAGGGGTCATGAAATTCAGGATCGCGGAGGGGAAGTAAGACAAGGCCAGGGTCTGTCCGGCCCTACCTCCCTGTCTTCTGGGCCCTGGGACAGTCACTAAGCGGCCCCGGAGCCTCAGTTTGCCCTTAGGTAACACAGAGGGCACCCAGGGACCCCAGCAATGAGCCCATTCCCGACCCTCCGCATGGTCCTGTCCAGCTGCCCAGCCCAGCCTGCCGTCTGCTGGAACTGGCCCGGAATGTGGCCTCAAGGTTCCTGGGCCTGGGTCCTGCCTTGCTAGGACGTGGGGCTTTGATGAATAAACTGGGAACACACACCCACCACCCCATCAACAGTGTTTATGCCGGACAGGGATCTTTCCTAATACTTTGCTTGGG